GTTATATCTGAGGGCAGGTTAAAGTGAAGAGATGTTAGTATACTTGAAAGAAAAGGTACAACTAATAAGAGTAAAAGAAAAGGTACAACTAATAAGAGTAGATGTCAATTAACGAATATCTGTCAATGACAAAGTGCGGAAAATATTTTGATCTGCACAAAACACTTATGTCTACACAAAATGAAATATTGTCTGATATCTAGGGCTTTTCATGAGCAATTGGAAAAAAATGTAATTATGATAGGCAGAGAGGAAAAAATCAGTGTTTTGCTTTGAAAATTATCCCTTTCTGGATTGTTTTTTCTATCTCAGACAGTCTGACAACATTTTTTGAAATATTTTGATCTGCTTGAAATTGTCTCTCTTTCCCTCTCTCTTATTTTTTTTAACCAAAAGATGTATTTTTGGCTGAAAATTTTTGCTGTATCCAGAAAGGGAAATTGTTCTGTCAAGGGTATTGTAAAAAGCCCTGTGTTTCATTGCCTTTTAATGGAACCTTAATAGAAGTTGGCAGTGTAGATGACGAAGCTGGAAGGCTGCAGTGAAATTAAAATAATCAGAAGTTGTTCTGGGTTCATGACCATGAGAAAGCCCTCAAAGCCTGTAACTATTCACTCAGCCATAAAAATGGCTGTTCTCATGTCTTCCCATCACGTCCCATCCTTGGGAGAAACACTCACGACTGCAAGAAGCCCACGGGGGACTGTGGCTATAGCTATTGCTATTGATTTTAGATGGAAGATGTGCAGATACTGCAGTGAGAAAGGGAAGGATCAGCTTCACCAAAAAAACCCAAGTGCATTGAAATCTGGAACAGCTCTTGGATCTGGGAAGGAGAGGATAAATTTTAATCAATGTCAATGTTTCCAACTGATTTAGAAAAGCCTGACTATGCATTAAGCTGTAATGACCTCTGGCAGACTTTTAATCTAGATGCAAGCATTATAACTTTCTTTCTTAATGATGAGCATGGCTTCTAAACCCTTTGAAACCCTTGCATCTGAATGAGTTTGTGCTACTTGGACCTTATGTTGCATCAACTGGAGGTTCCTCAGACTTGTTGGAGTATTGCTGAAATCAGAGTTAGAAGAAATGTTTCCCAGGGATAACACTACCTGCACTGGTACTTCTCTTGCTCCCCTGCACTGGTTATTTCTCCCCCTAATATACCCTCATGCTCTTTCTTTTGCCCCATCATTACTGCTAGATATTCAAACAGGTTTTGGCTTTCAGTCTTTTGGTTTGTCTGCTGCAGAGATGTTAATAATGGTTATTTCCTGGTAGTGAATGCTTGACTTGGTCTAGGGGGACCTGTTTGTAGCATAGTTTTCTGTAATTACCCAAAATTTACACAGCAATTCCAGGCCTATTATATGGGGCATAGTATATAATTACAGGCATAACATATTAGGTCCTAATAACAGCAAATATATCATTACACAAATCATTCATGTTATTGTGCTGATATTTTTATATGGAGTAAGTGAACACAATTGCTAATAATTACAATACACATCTTACAGCTGCAGTGTAACTGGTGCCACTGAAACATGTAGCAGGGCAGGGACAGGAGTAAGGACACTCCCACTGAAATATGTTTGAGTCTGCGAAATATCACATCCAAAAACCAAGGTGGAAACCCTCCCCGTATAGTTTTGTGTGTATGCGTGTGCATATATATGACAATTGTATTCACCAAAGCAGACATCTAGGAAGATTATTCCACATTTTCTTTCTTGGATGATGGATCTCCTAGCTAGTTATTGGGGAGGGGTGGGGAGTGGAGGGAAAGTTTGTTGCCCAGCCGCCAGGGATGTAGAGGGAGTGAATAAATCCTATAAATGCAGCAGCAAGAAGAGTTGGGCCAGCAGGTCACCAGGTGAGATGTGCAAATGGTGCATCTCACCTTCCAGTTTGGAAAAGCTGGGCTCAGCCCAAGATTGGTAATAAACATGCTTTGGGGCACTTTAAAACTTTCCTGAAAGGTGACTGCTGATCCCTGCCAAATGTAGGTAGTTTGTAGGGAAAAGGCGTTAGTGCTGGCATCCGTCAGGCAGGGTTGGGTGTGGATTAAGGACACAGAAGGGGTGCAAAGCCAATCCTGACCTTCACATGCAGCTTTATGAGTGTTTTTGATTGATGCATGTTGCTTAATGGCTTGATTTAGGCACTGCCATCCTGGAGCTCTAAGATGCATCGTTTCAGCCCTTGGAATGGAGGGCAGCTACATGGAGGGTAGGTGCAACGGAGACTTCTTTTTCCTACACTACTATATCAAAAGGTTCATGAGGTGACTTCTGTTTCAACATCTGCCTATTTATATCTGCTTCATGGTTTATGTTGAAATTTGTTTCCTTTGCCGACAGATTGACTTGCTTTGTGGGTTCTGTCTGCAGTATCCCACCAGCACCTTTGACAACACTAACCTGGATTTGCAACATTGAGCCCCCTTTTTCTAAAGCAGCAGGACAAGGGTCAGCCACCCTCACCCAGGTTAATGGGAATTTTATTCACCACTCCAGAGCACCTCAGAGTGACAATACAATTAGAAAAACATGTAGACTGGGGTCTGCCCTCAGGCATATCCTTAGGGGCACATGGTTGGGAGTCATCAACAGGGCCTAGTGTGCACTTGGCAAACTTGGTTTGGGCAGAGGTCTCTGCTTTGCCTATTCCATCCTCTTTTGGTATGGAAATATCCTAGTTAGAGCAGCGATAATGGAATGGGAACCATGAGGGACAGCACCAGCCTGCCAAAGTGATTTTACCCAACCATGGAAATACTGATGGGTCAGCCTGTGTATTTCTGTTCATGTGGGGCAGAGGGAGATAGAGGTGCTCAGCTGAGCCTGGCGAAAGTCACTGTGCAAACGTGGTTTTGTTGGTCTACAAAGGGCTACTTCCAACACTGAAAGCTACTTCAAGCTCAGCGTTCAAGGGTAGAAATGGTAGGAAAGGTCCTACTGCTCCCTTCCTGCTCTTCTGATCCCACTGCCCACGAGCAACAGAAAACCGTTGAAAGAAAGAAGGATCTGGCTTTATGGGACAGATTATTACACACAGTATTTTTGATACTCTGTAGACAGCATTTCCACTCCTGGTAACTTAAGCTGATATAAAACCTGGCTTGAAGATGTTTGGATTTAGAGGTGTCTGTGCAGGGCAGGGTTCCTCGTGCAGGAAGGTCTTGGCAGCTGTGAGGACGTTTATTTAACAAGCAGGTAGATGGTGATTGCTGCTGTGAATCCGATGCAATACTGTGAACAAGTCTGGTGGTGTTGCCACGTTCATAAGATAATCCTCACCTTGGTCCTCACTTTTGTACCTCCTTGGCTGTTAAATTCCCTCAGCAATTGTTAGATCAGAAATATGGGGAAATACTAATGCCCTTCACCCACCACAGCTGGCATCTGAGCAGCAGGTGTAGTATGAGTAATGAGGAGCATTGCTTTACGTCCAGGTGATGTTACTGGTTTGGAGTGTGATTTCTGGTTTAGTATGGCATTCAGCATCTGTGAAAAAAAACAAATAAATCCCACTGGCCTCTCAGCATCCCCTTTGCCTAATGAACTTCTCCCCTCTGTCCCATGGTGGGTTATGGTCAGCTGAGCTCCTGCAGACTGTCCCGCGTGGGGGCTGTGTTACAAGGGCTCCTCTGCCCTCCCATCCAGGTTGTGGAGCCGAGCGCTGGTGCCAACTGGGAGTAAAGGCTTTGGCTCTGCTGACCCCGGGGAGGTGACGGCCTGAGGGCTGTTTTACTTTTCCAGGATGATAACAAACGTAATTACCTTGTTATCGGCAGAGGAGAGCGCTCGCTTGGCATGTTTGCTGGGGAGGAGTGAGGCAAGGTCAGCTCTGTACCTCAGCTGACTCCAGCTGTGTGCCTGGCCAGGAAAGCAATGTCACCTCCACTGCAATGTCCAAACTCACATTTCCTACCCTTTGGTAAAAATTTACCCTTTTTGTCCAAGTTGGTTGGTGGAGCTGAGCTGGGCAGCACGGGGCAGTGGTAAGGATGACCACTGCTGCTCCTGTTGCCTTGCCTGACCTCCTGCTGCAATGCAAAAGCATCCACGCAGCCTCTTACAGAGGCTGCTTCACTTAAACCAAGCAAAACTTTTCTTTTTTAAAAAACTTTTGCGGGCTATCTTTCTGTCTGCATTTACTGGAGGGCAGCAGTAGGGTGTGAATAGCAGGAAACATTTAAGGAAAGTGAATTTGGGAATTTGTAAATGAAGCAACTTGGTCCCAAGGGTTAATGTTTCCCTAATCAAGGGGACAAACAACATTGCATAGTCTAAAGCTCCAATCACAACCTAATGATGCTGCCCAGCTTGTGACTTACGTATTTGTAGCAAATTCCTTATCTATCAACAGGAATTGAAAGGGAAAAAAAAAGGTAAATAAAGAATATCAGCAGTATCGTATCACTGACTCTCCCCGCAGAACTTGCCTTACTGATTAATTATTAACTCTCACAAACAGAAAGCCACTGCAGAACTCGTGACTAAAATATGATGCTATTTCTCAAATTAAAAATGCTTGGTGAATTTAATCCGCTGCTTGAAAGCAGAAATGCCCACAGGGTTTCCTTAGCCCCTGGCTATGTCACATAGCCTGTATGTGCTGGGGTTGCACCCCAAGTTGTCCCCATTGCTCTTGCTCAAAACCCAGATGGGAGAATTGCAGCGTGGCCTTGTACAAAACCTGCAGTTCCCCCTCTAGGTCATCTTGCGGTGCTGGGGCTTTTTTCTAGTGCCTTCCAGTTCCCTTTCTCTGTTTCCTGTGGCTGCGCTACATCCGTGAAGTCCAGCTGCTTGCCAGTTCTCGAAAGCAAATGCACTTTAAACCCAACCCTTTGACATGGGTGCAAACACCCCTGGAGTGTTTCCCGTGGCCCATGAGCTCAGCCCCTTTCCCTGTTACAAACTAAAAAGCTGGCTTTCATGTATATAATGAAAGACATGGTTAAAAAGTGTGCTTTAATAAAGAAATACAAATGACAATCTAAAAATGTATTTTATTGGGCTGCTAATAATGACCAGTGGTGAGGGCCAAGGGGTGAGCAGTCTCATTAGCTCCTGGGAGGGGGCATGGACAGAGCCATCCCTCATCTGTCCCAGAAATCAGGCAGAAGACATCTCGAGCATCCTTACCAGGAGCTCGCCCATCCTCGTCTGGTCCAGGGGACTTGGCAGTGAGCGGACTGTCACCACACAGCCTGGCTCCCCCCAGACCCAGACCTTGCTCCGGTGAGCTCAGGTTTTGCACACCAGCTCCCCAGTTCAGCGTTCATCTGCCAGTTGCTCAGCTTGAGAAATAAACGGGCAGGCACTGAGGAGTTCAAGTTTCATATTCATGTCAGTAAAACACAGACTATGCTGTTCCCCTGCCCGCTGAGCCTCTCGCTCTCCCCAGCGCCTGCTGATGCCCGGCCAGATTTGGACTGGAGTAAGTCAGACACCCAGGAACCTGATTTATGCTGATGTAGCCAGGATGCCAATCTGGCCTTGCAAATAACCTTTCCCCTTGAGTGGGATACAAATTATGTTATAATCTCCTTGGTTTGGAAACCCATATTTTTTTTTAACTTGAACACAGAGCTCTGTCCCCGCATCATTAGCAGATGTCTTGCATACGAACTGCATTACCTATAAAGTCTGCTTACTCCAAGCAAATGTTTCTCAATAATTTCTTTTTTTTTTTTTTTACTTCAATTTGAAGTGAAAGGTACAGTATAGGATTCAAATGCTTTTGCATTACATGGGTTTCTGACTACTTGAAAAACCCCATGGAAAAAACAACTTCACAAATCTGAAACGCCCGCTGAATCGTTTTGCTGCATTTCATTCTGCCTAGCTGAACTTTCTTTTAATTTCCTTTCTTTTTTTTTTTCTTTTTGCTTTACATGGCACTTAGCTTTTGCTTATTCAGTTTTATTTATTTATTAAAAAAAAAGTTTCATAGCTCCTGTTTCAGCTCTCACTTCGTGTCAGTATTTCTACCCTGTGGATGTGTTGCACAGGCAGGAACTTCAGCAAATTGCCCAAAAGGCAGAACCATGGAGTCGCTCAAAGAAAGAAGCAAACCTGAACGCTGAAGCACAATTTGGTATTGTCCCAGCTATTGCCCACACTGCACACTGGCTCCAGGGCTGCAGGCAGAGAAGTGCGGGCAGGAAAATTAAGAGGCGACTCACGGAAGGATTCAGAAATTCGGATTTGCCACCGACAGCTGGCTGGCCTGCTTGCCACCATCTGAATGGCACCTCTGACTTTTCTTTGGCTCAAAGATTTAACGTTAAGGCAAAAATAAGACACAGTGTAGAAGCTCCATCAAATCTTTGGCACAACAGCAACAACAACAACAAAAAAAATTACTGTACACATGAGCTGAGAGGGTAACATTTCCCAGTTAAGCAAAGGGAAAAGTGCTAAATAAATTGCACGTACTAAAAGGTGGCTGGCTTAACAACAATAAGAAGCATCCCTGTCCCTTTTTTTTTTTTCTTTTCCTTTTTTCCTTTCAGTTCCAGAGATTAAGAAAGTTTCTTGGCCAATCTTCATCTCGAAAAGGGGTTTCTGCAAAAAAGCTGCTTGCAGTCTTCATCTAGATCGTGCAACCTTTGCCAAGAACAGATGTAACTCTGGCTGGAAGCTCTTCTGAATCCTCCCTTCCTGGTTATTACTCCTGGAAAGAGAAAGATGCACCATCAGAACCATGAACACATGGTGTCCCAACGGCTCCTTGCACAAATGACCGTTGCTGATGCACGCTGGGGCGTCCTTGGGGACCATTGGCCATGAATGTGAAGATCTTTAAGAGCTGGGCTTGCAGAGCAACCATGTGTAGGTGCCACAACGGTGGCCAGATCTTACATAGAGCAGAGGGACCAGCAGAGAGGGGAAAAGGAAGGTTTCGGGAAGAAATGCAACCAGGTAATTAGGTGTTGGCTCCAGCTCCCGATGTAAAAAAAATTAGCAATTATGGTGAATACCTGCTTTTGACAAGACCTGCAGCCTTTGGGGTCTATTTCCAGCTTTAAAAGCTGATCTCAGAATTACAGAGAAAGCCAAGGAGTTGGGACAAGCTGGATTTGTGCAGGATATGGGGCTTATTTTTCTATTTTAGTGATTGCATTTACTGTTCTGCATGCACGGCTTCTCAGCCTGGAGGACTGCAACCTGTCCCTTGTGCCTGCGTATCCCCCCGTGAGTCATGGCCATGGCAGATGTACTTGGGTAATTGCATTTGGCTACAGAGTATTATGGCCAGGTCCTTTGGAAAATGCACAACTCCACAGCAGGTTCAGACAGGGAAAACCTCATTTAAAGCCCCTTGAACATTAAAATAAGCCCTGCAAATATCCCACAAACAATCGTTAGCACAGTTCAAAACAGAGTAAAATCCTCAGGGTCTGCTCTTTCATGAGATCACATCTCTGTTGTCCAAACTGCCTACATCATGTGGGCTCCTAAATCCTCCTTTAAGTAACTTAGGAATTAGAAACTTGGAAATGAGATCCCATTTACTGAGTCCAACCACTGTTTCTTGCTTTTTGCCAGTGGATTTAAAATCACTTCAGGGTGCAGTACAGCCTCTGAAGATCCTTTGGACACGGTCATCAGTTCCCTGGACAGATCAGCCATCTTTCTGAGAGTCTTAAAAAGGTCAAACTCCTTAAAGCTTGGCCTGAAAAATATTTTTTCCTCGATCTGTTTTGCTTCTGTATTGCCTCTCCTTTTACATTACTGCATATTGTAACATGAAAGTGTAAAATATTACTAAGATACCAATGTTTTATATTATTTACTTTATTTTACTTTATTTATTTTATTACTATCATTAGGGCAGCTCCTTGTGAGATCAACCATAACAGCTGAGCATCCACACCAGACTAAGGGGCAGGAGCACCCAAAATCTACCTTGCCACCCCTCCTGCCAAGTGAGGAAGCACAGGCCCACGTCATCCTCCATGCAAGAAATACTGATCTCTGCTGGACTCCAGACTCCTGGAGTTGGGGTCAGCACATCTGGATATGGTGGAGGAGGCATTTGGCCATGCAGCTCTGCTGGAGGACAGGATGGAGGTGTGGGCTGGCTGCATCCCAGAGATAAAAAAGTCCCCGGATAAATGTCACTCCATCTGTCCCAGCCTGCATGGGTTGCTCTCCTCCGTAAGCAATAATGAACTCTTCACATCTGGCACACACCAAATCTGAAAACAGAGCTCGTTATTGCAATTATTATCAATAAGGAGGTGTCTCTGCTGACTGTAAGTCACTACTTAGTGCTGCTTGGAACAGGAGAAGGCAGAAGTTATTGCCCTAATTCAAGGCCTTAATTGGGATTTAGGATTTTGAATAAATGAGGTTTAGGTGGGAGAATGACTAACAACCTTATATATCGCAAATGTTTCTGTTGGGAACCCCCTAAAATTATTTTTCAAGAATAAACAGTATATATTAATAACCTGCAATAGAAAAGTCAGTTGTTTAATTTATCCCACATGGAAATAAAAGAAGAAAAAGGAGGGAAGCAGTGACCACTCTCATTAATATTAAGACAGTAGAGGGACAAATTCCCCCTGCTCCCGTCTGGAACAGCAGTCTTAGCAAGCAAAACCTCTTCCACCGCAGGAATGAATTACCCAGTAATAGCAGCCTCATGCCCTATGCCAAAGCCACCAGAGTCACAGGGCCCCCCTGTCCCCTCCTTTGTACCCCTGGAGCTCTTTAAAGTACTGAACATATAGGGCTTGAGATTGCAGTTAACACCTCCTGCACTCAATCAGAGACTCTACCCTTTAGTGCAGGGTGCTTGATGCTGATAAAAAGCATCGGTGGGTTTTGGGAATCAGGATGGTTTTAGGAAGAGGAGCCTCAGTGGCAGGTCTCTGCTTTGACATCTTGGCAATTGGGGAAGAGCAGCCATGGTGGGGGGAAAGAGGAAATACGGACGAACCAGCCAAAGGCAAGTAAGGGCAATTGTGCTGTACCTTCACAGCGAAGGAAACAGAAAGGGGAGTGGAGAGATCCCTCTGCAGTGTGATGTAGGAGCTCAGCAGTCCTCGCTGGCACCGCTCAGTTGGTCCCCAGGTGCTGCCCAACACTGGCCATGGATTGTGTCAGGTGGGAACAGGCTCCTTTCTTTCCCCCTCCCTTTTCTACTCCAGCCAGGAACTCTGAAGACAGATTTATTAACCAGGGTCTGCTTTAAACTACTAGTATCAGAGCTCCCATGGTTCTTGAATTTGACAACTGGCCCAATGACCTTGGTGAGTTTTCAGCATCCCGGAGCATTTCGATCTCTATAAATCAAAGTACTTCTGGAATTGAGTCAGCCTTTGTTCCAGGGCTTCTCCTGTCTCTTCTACTCACATTTTCCTTTTGCTGTAGTTACCTGATATCTGTGGGGCGGATCTTACCCTATTCTTGGTAATACACTCATTACAAAGGGAACGGAGCCTGCGCTGGGACCCTGCTCCCACCGGGGCAGCGAAGCCCCAGCCTCAGCCTTTGCATGCTGCGATGCGGCTGCTCCAACACCCCTTAAAGCAAATGGCGTTTTGGGGTGCTGTCATGCAACAGTGGGGTCTCGCATCACATCCCTCTTGCAAGGAAAAGCTTTCGGCCCAGCTCTTTGGGGTACTGATGCTCAACCCTCCCGACGGGCCGAGGCAGGGTTTGCAGTGCCCCTGGGGGTGCACGTAGCTGCTGCTGGCTCGCTGCCTGGCGCTGGGCGAACTTGCTAGTGAACGTCGTGAGCCCTTAGCCTCAGAACCGTGCCCCCTTTGCAACTGCTGTTTCAGGTTGCAGGGTCATATAAAACACAAGCGATAAGCACAGGAATCTGCTACAGCGCTTACGCAGCCTCGCTACCCCCTCATTTTTAAGCAGGTCTGATCCCTGCGCGTGTAATCCTTCAGCTAGCGTGGGCAGCAATAACTCATGGCCAGGCAGATCCAGGCCCCTCCACCCCAGGGATGCTGCTGTCCCGCTGTCCCGCAGGCAGACGGATGGCTCGGAGTGGGTCGCTGCTCTCCTGTGGTCCAGCTCCTCCCCGGGGCCCGCGGAGCTGGCGGCCGTGGGGAAGCAGACTGGCTGGCTGCCCGCTCTCGCCTGCAAGTCCTAGCAGGGAAATGAAGCTATTTTTAAAGAGGAACCTCTGCTGAGTCAAACTGCAGAGAAAGGGAGGTCGAACCTCATTATTACACCCCCCATCCCTCACAGGACGGGAAGCCGCGAGGAAGAAAAGCCATGCAGATCGTCAAGAGTTTTACTGTGCTGGCTCTGAATGTGTTACAATAATCAATATCAGATGATCAATAACAGTAAACCCCGGCAGCCAGGATCATCTACGCAAACCAGGGGGTGGGAGCTGTGGCTTTATCTCGGAGCTCTGTCTAAATAAATCACGAGTCATAATACAGTGTTATCGAAAAAATATGCTCCAAGCGAATGGTTTCAGTGCCGTACGAATCAAGCCTGCCACTACCATTTCTCTTTTATATTATAAAACCTTAACTTGTTCACTCCTGCAAGTAAATATGCCTGCAAAATACCCTCCTTTAAATTTTTCAATGGGAGTAAGTGTTACCTACAGCGGGAGCTCTGCTTTTAGTGAAGTAGCAATGAAGCAGCATCAAGGCATGGCAGAACACCACAATAACGATTTTATATAATGCAATAATTACATACATAATGTGATCCATTTTAGCACAGCAGACTGCAACAAATAGAGTGGCTTTTCATTCTATATACGCTTCTATATCATTTAATTATCAGGGAATATGTATATATAGAGTGCATTTTTAATTTTTAATTCCTTGTGTCTGTGCGCATCCACACACAGGCACAAAAACCAAGAAACTAAATTCCAGCTGAAAACTTTTATTGAGCTCCAACTGCTCGCCTGTTATTCATAACCCAGTTTCCTCTCTCACAAAGAGACCTTTCGCATGGTTTGGTTTTTTTTTTTTTTTTATGTGTGTATGTTGTTTTTTTTTTTTTCTTTCTTTTTTTTTTTTTTTTTTTTTTTTTTTTTTCCCTTCTGCCTCGCTAACAGCTGCTCGCAGTGTTGTATCCTGAGTGATGATGAGGTTCTGAAAGTGTTTTTTTTGGAACAGATGGCCAGGAGAGAGCCGGGGAATGTGCCAGCAGCGAGCTGGGGAATGCGCCAAGTCCTGCAGTGACTGAGTACTCCGGGTTCCAGCTCGCGTGCCTTTCCCCTGCCCTCTGCCCCAAGTGGCGCCAGCAGGACTTCCCAGCTCGCGCTCCGAACATCTGGAGTCTGCGACTGCCAGAAGAGCCGGGACGGGGGGAGGATGAAGCAAAAAAAATCCCTCATCCATCCCTCCCTGCTCCGGCTTAGCTCCCATGGCCGCAGCGATGTTGCTGCCTAGCACGAGGGCTAATCAAAAGCAAAAAGGGCAAGGGAAGGAAAAGAAAATGAACCTTGCGATGGGAGTTTGGGGTTTTCTGTTCAGTGCTGGGTGTGTTGTATAGGGTATTTGTTAGCAGTTGGATCCTGCTCTGGGTAGACCCACGGGCTGTGGTTGTGCTGCCTGGTGGGGAGGTAAGGTTTGCCCTGTAGCCCTGCGGGCTGGATCTGTAGGGGCTGGGGGATGTGGAGTAAATTAAACAAAACCAGCAATCTCCAGAGAGAACACTTAGCCATGCACCCGAAAGCCCCAAACCCTACCCTGAGCCGTAACACCATCTTCCTGCAGGACACCAGAATTTGGCCCTGAGGGGGAGAAAAAGACTATAAAAGAGACTGTGCAAACAGCAGGCTGGAGCCAAAACCCTACAAAATCCGTGTGAGGCTTTCAGATAACCTCCGCTCACTTAGGATCACATCCCGTGCAGAAACAGGGTATGTCAGGGATGGGGAAACGTTGACTCCCCTTTCTGATCCACCGCCTTTCACTGCCGCATGCTCAGTGCTGCCAGAGGATGCTCATGGCTGGAGCCAAGGGCAGACCCCCCCTTTTCCCAGGACATCAGTGTGGCCCCAGCAGGACTCGGGGCTCTGCTGAGTGTGTCGCAACCCAAATCTCTGATGTGGTGCAACTCTTGTGTGCATGGTGAAAGGCAAGGCTTAGTCCAGATCACTTGTATAACCAAGCCAAAGGCAGCTTTAAAAAATGAAGACTATCATCACAATTCACCATGTCCGTGTGGCTTTTTTTTAAAGGAAAAGGCATTTTAAGCCCTTCAATTACCCTCTTTGCCACTTATAAATGAGATCTCCCATCAGCAAACACCTTCAGTCAGGTCTCAGTTGCAACAACTAAAATTGCCATATAACTGTAGTTAGGACTGGAAAGGGGATTTTTTTTTTTCCTAGTCAAGTTGGAAAGGCTTAAGCCCACTTTTCTAGTTAACAAAACGGAGTGGAAAGAGGGGGAAAAAATACCCATTAAATTTCCTATTGCAACAGCAAACTCTGAACAACAGCCTAACATCAGGGACAGCAGATAATTTGCCCTCAAAAACAAAGCAAAAGGCAATGCACAATCCAGCAAACACAACATCTGGAGCCCCTGCCTGCCAAAACAAACTCCAACCAGCTACTTTTTTGTGTGAAAAGCTCACGGTGCCATAGCACACTGCAGTCAGATTGCTGAGAGTGCAAGCGACAGAGGCAGAGACACAATGAAATGGAGATGGCAGGAGAAAGGGGTGCTGTGGACCCAACAGTAGAACTCAAGAAGTGGAGGTCTGTGCTTGGGCTTGCTGTGATTTTTTTTTTTTTTTTAAGAGAGAATAAAAAAGGAAAACCAAAAAACAACAACAACAAAAATATAATAACCACCCCAAAGTCGATAATTCAGAGGAACTGCTCAGCGAGCAGTGGTTTCAGAGACTTGATTAAAAACACACACAGCTTAAAAAAACGTGCCGATTTCAAAATTAATGAGGGCGCAATGATTTTGGGCCAAGCCATTGTATCCTCATCCAGCCGCCCATGTGAGGCCCCCCAGGAGACATATCCCATCACACCACCTGACATCCAGAGCTCGGATCTTCCTTGCACAACCCACAACCATCCTGCATCTATAGCTTCCCTCTGACAATGGCATTTTCCTCCCTTGTGCTCATGATGCCCTTGATTTGCTCAAGGAGAAAGGGAGATACCAAGATGAGTCCTCCCAACCTAGACTTTGCACTGCCATTCCTACCTACTGGGAATTACTGGTGCTACTTAGTGGCACCTACTGGTTTTGGCTTCCTCACCAGCTGAACATGCTCTCGCCATCATCTGAGCAAATACTGCTCGAAATAAAATGATACCTGTCAGCCAGGGGAATCCACAGGCTCTTGGGTTGCCCTAAACTTGGACTTTCCCAATTAGCAGAAATGCATTTGCAATATACTTTCCAGAAAGAAAAGCAAGGCAGAGCGAGGACCAAGACCCTGCCTCGGGTATAAAGCCCAGCTTTCTTTTTGGAGATGGTTTTTGGAGAAGGGTTAGGGTGGGTGTCCCTCAAGAACATGGAGAAAAGGCAGACTTTCTCCCAGTGACGCTGTTTTTGCGGATCTGCAGTGGCCCACCGAGAGGCGGGATGTGCTGATGCCCCGTGAGAGTTTCATTGTTCATGCGCTGTCAATGGGCTTGGGGCTTTTCTCCATGCCTCTGCTCCAGAGCAAACTTTAGAGAACAAACACTATAAATGGAAGGCTTTTAATTCTTAATTTATTTTTTTAATTAAGGATGGGACCAGCCCTAATCCTCAGATGTGAACATCCTGGGATTTGGAGCCATTTGAAATCTGGCTCTGCATTTTCTGTCTTGAAGCTTGCATTGGTTTACATAAGCCAAGACAATGCATCTCAGCCCATCGGACACCCAAAGCCTGAACACCAGCCCAGAATTCTGCTGAAGCCCCAAGAAGGATGCTCATCCCCTCCTTCTCCTCCACCTTGACTTGAAGAGGGGACCCAAGACCAAACTAGCAATCTGCTGAAGCTTCAAAGAGGATGTTCATCCCCTTCTCCTCCATCTCAGCTTGGGGAGGGGACCAAAGATCCAACTCTCACCTCGCCCTAGGGTTGGTGGCATCACATCAGTGTCCCTGAGACACCACTGCCTGTGGCACTATGGACCCTACAATGAACCCCCAATTTTGGGCCGTGCCCACGAGCTCCCCCCACACCTCCCACTTTCAGCCAGTGCTATCGGCTGTGGGCGAGCAGTGCTGCATCTCTGCCTGGCACTGCTGCTCCAGGGGCAGAAACAGAGCCCATGACAGCGAGAGGAAGCGACAGGGAGTGTGCTATTGTGTTTATTTATAAACTGAATTGCAGCAGGATGATTTGTTGGGCTAAAGAGGAGGAAAAGTGAGGAAACCTGCCCGAATCAGAGGCAGATCTTAACAACACTGGGGAAGGAGCCTGCTCCTCGGCTTAGCTGCCCATTCATCCATTAAAATCCTGCTGATTTATTATCCCGCCTGACAAGCGAGCCCAGAAAGCAGGGGGAAGTTCAATTCAAGTTTACAAAACTCTTTTTGTCATAAAAGCCCGAACAAAGACATCAATCACTCCTTTAATTCACCCATGTCACTCTCCGAGAGGAAAACTGGCAGAATGCTCCGCTTCCTCCTCCGGCTGCTTGACGATGATTTCACCTAATTGGTTCAGTGTTAAGTAACCTAAAGGAATGCAAGGCGTAATTAGATTTAACGTTGTTTCCTCAAGATACCCACATGTCCTTCAGGTCATACATCTTACTAATGTGTTTATACATACAATGTCTCCATTAGCTACTTTTTTTTTGTTGTCGGGTGATTTTTCCCAGAGATAAGTGTTAGATTAAACAAAACAGAAAACACAGGCGGGCAACCGTGTTTTATGGGCTCCAAAAGGCAACTCGAGGTTGGTTTGGTTTAACAAATAACAGCCCTGAGATGACTCTAATAGGATCACGCTCGTGTTAAAACACACGATGGGCGACTAATGAGAGGAAGAGCCCGGCACGGAGGATGGGAAGGAGAGAAAAGCTTTTGATTAGAGAGGAATGCAGTTATTACAAGATCAGACGGATGGAGGAGAAAAAGCAAGAAAGAAAGGCAAGGGATAAAAAAAAAATCAGGAAAATTTTTCAAGAGGTTGAGAAAGGAAGGAAACTGCTTGGATTTTTAGGCTTTTTCCCTTTTTTTCCACTTTTGTAACTTTTACCGTTATTTGGGGGGCAAGGGGGGGGGAGGCTGTAACATACCTTCCTTTTTTTAGATCTTCCTTCTGCTTGTAAGGTCCTAGTGCACTGCTCCACGCATTCAGAGAAGCTCATGTTACTGTGGTCAGCGCTGTAATCCAGGTCTGCTAGTCTGGCCAGGGAAAGGATATAGTTACAGGCTATTCTCAAGATGGCCAGTTTGGACAACTTTTGACCATAAGAATAGCAGGGAACCTAGAAAGGGTAACAGGGAAAAAAAAAAAAAAAATAAAAATTAGGCCAGATAAACAAAATATCTTTCTGCAAGCATGACAAAACAACTGTAGGTTATTTACTTAGCAGTTTTTAACATAAATAGGAACTCTAGCGATAAAAGGCCATATGGTCCCAACAGGTTTTTAAGAAGAACTCCCCTGCTGTTCTCCATGGGGATGAAAGCAGCACAAAGCCTCTTGATTTCAGTGGGCCAGTTCTGCTTAAAACACGATGGCAGGATACGGCCTGGGACGTCTGCCTGCCATTCAGTTCACTTCTCAGAGGCCCTTTTTTTCTCAGAAACCTTCAACTCCCACGCCACCTAGTTACTCATCTTGAGTAACTTATTTCCCATAGGTAGGTCCAATGTCACCACAGGTCTTGCAGAATAAGGCAATAAGGGGGGGTATGAGCAAATATATCATAACCTGGTGGGTTTGTGCTCAAACAGCATCGATCAAGACTTCCAGCCTGTGCAAAAACACAATGCTGTTGTAGGAACAGGACCTGGAGGCAGTAATTCCTACTTGCTGAAACACCCCGTCGTGGTACCTCACGTCCCAGAAGAGACCAAACCAGAGCCTGGTTCAGGGCCCTGGCCCTATCTTACACAATTTATTTCTTTAGCATTGGAGATTTCTAGTGTAATGTGAAACATTCAAACAATTCAAACTAAACAGCATGTGTCTAAATAACTGAACAGTATGTTTCCTGCTGCAAAAGGTCTGATTGCTTGTCGATCGTGATCCAGCAAAACACTACATATGTGCTCAATTTCAGGCACACAACTTCAGCATGTCCAGCTTAACAAGAGATCTTCTTCTGAGCTCAATAGGCTTGAGGCCCCGTTCACTAGTTTGCAAAATTGCTAAAGGTCACTCAGCCTTTAATGAACAAGAGTCTATTGCCTACAGGAAGCTGGAGCCGGGGGTTTATCTGAAATCCATCCGAGCCACTCAGGTTGTCTGACTACCCGTCAATCTAAATTTTCATACTACATCAATCACTGGAATGTCTCAATGTCCCTCCACCATCTGCCTCCATACCAGTCTCCATCCTCCTCACCCCTCTGGGGTGTCACACTCTGCTTAGGGTTGGAGATTTTTTAATGCTTCTTGACATGCTTGTGCCTCAGCTTCTCTTTTCTCCACAGAGACACAAATCCAGGCTCATCCCTGAAACGATGTCCCTGACTTTACATAAGACGGGTGAACCCCACAGCGGCCATATGCAGATGCCAAGGGAGGAGCAGAACAGCACAGGCATATATAGGATTTCCCCAAGTATTTTGCCAGGCTCCAACTAACGTCAGCTCCATGACCTCAGCTCGTGTTTAGCAACCCATGATAGATCTTTTCTATCCATGAATTTGGTCTGGTAAGCTGTAACCCTGTAAATTTTGAGCACCTGCAACATCCTTTTGCAAAGTTTTCACCCTAGTCTATATAACACTGCCCTCCTTTTGTTTGTTTTGAACCCAGCTCCTGCTATCTTCACCTGAGGTCCCCCAGTTCCTGTACTAGAAGAGAGGACAACAGATTGTATTCTCCTCCTCTGTGATACATGTTTTTAGTCCTCTATCATCTCTTCAGCCTCTTTTCCAGAAGAAGATCAAATCTCCTTAGCAGATAGTAGTGTGGAAGCCATCCCATACCTGTGATGACCCTTGCTGCTCTTCCCTGACCCTTTCCTAGTCCTTCTGGAGCCGAGAGGATCAGAACAACACACGATATCCATGTTGTGGACGCTCCATGTATTCATCTAGCAGATGCTTATGTTCTATGTTCTGTTTAATATTCCTTTTCTTGTAACTCCTGATTTGATTTGTGACCAGTACCAGGCACTGACCCCTGACCTTCACTGAACCATTTACAGAAACCCTGAGGTCTCTGTTCTCTGAGATAATGGTCAGCTCAGGGTCTGTCATTTCATATGTGGAATATGGTATGTTTTTTCCCATATGCATCACTTCACTTTATCTACATTGTATTTATTTAATCTACCATGTTATTACCTAGTCACTCAGAGTCATAAGGTCCCTCGGTAGTAATTCATCTGATCTTTGCTACCTCTAGCAAATATCAATACCTTTTGCTGGAGTATTATCAGAAAACTTCCTATTGCACTGCTCACACCCCTTTCCAGGTCATTTATCGACACACGCAGCAGCACTGCTCACACAGTCACAGTGTCAGGTGGTGGGACCTTTGAGGTCTCCAACCCAACTCCCTGCTCGAAGCAGAGCTAAACTCAGAGTCATACCCTGGTTTGTCCACTCATGACATCTCTCCCCACAGGTACTGGACCCACTGGTCCCTGCCTGTCCACCAACCACTAATCCACACTCCTGTCCAAGCTGCAGTGTCTTCAAACACTCCTAGGGAGGAGCTCTGCCGTAATACTTATGGAAATCCAAATTCAACCACCCTTATCCACAAGTACATGGATCTTAATGCTGTTGACCCTATGGCCCATTTGGCTTGTATGATACAGCTGAGGTGTATCACACAAGCAGTATCCAACCTCTCCAAAAGCAAGTTGACAAGCCTCAGGAGGCCTTTTTTTCATACACACCATCTGCTACTGATACCCCTGAGGAGGCAAGAAATCACAGAATCAGAGAACAGTTTGGGTTGGAAGGGACATTTAAAGGTCATCTAGTCCAACCCCCCCAGCAATGAGCAGGGACATCGTAAGGAATCTATTTATTCTCTGGGAATACCCAGTGTCACTGCTGCATTGACCTCAGCTGGCAGTTGCTCGCAGCAGAAACTTCTCTGCTGGTAACACCAACCCAAAAGGGACAGAGACACTTCCATGCCCAGCACTAGGTGTCCCACAGGATTCACGATACACTGTGTAAGACCCTCTTTGCAAAGCTGGCAGTCAAGGAAAAGACAAGGCTAAGTGTCGTCCCTACATCTCCAGAGTGAATCAGAGGGGTAGCTGGAAATGGCTGGAGTCTAGTGGGAAAAGGGGCCTCTTTTTGCCCAACAAAATCCCTCTCTAAATCCTTGCCTTCACCTCTTTGCCAGCATTATGCACTGTGCTTGCCCTTAGACCATAATACCTGGCCCCCAGACACAATAAGATGATAGCTATTTTGAAAGCAAGAGCTTCAGGCGGCAGAAACACCCAAGTCTCTTTGGATGCTGATGTAACAAGAACAGCAGAGCTCCCAGATCAAACAGCAGCGTGAAAGACCAAAGCAAGATGGAAACTAAAATGGAAGGATTCAGTTAAATGTGGGAATAATTTCAGAATTAGAGCAAGAAGGAAGTTAAATCGAGTGGAAGGAAAATAGACCACGAAATCCTTGAGGCAGATGCACAGACGCTGTCCAGTTACAACACAAGAAGGCAGGCTAATGTCTTTTTTCCTCATCTGTTTTGCTTTCTTTTGTGTTTTGTTTTTATTAAAAAAAAAAAAAAAAAAAAAGAAACAAAATAAAACCCAAACTGTTTGTAGGACATGTTTGCTACAAATTCCGAGAAAGATCTCCGTGCTAACACAGTTCACAAAATTCTCAACTGGGATTACACAACACTTTTCCCCCATGCTGCAGCAAAGTCCAAACTGGAGCTGCTCTGTATGTCCACGGGAAGAGATTCACCTTGAGCAGCTCAGACACCACCACGATGGGTGCGGGGCACCAACATTAGAATATAAGAGTTTTTGCCATGGTAACAGTGTTAGAATAACTATTTCATAGGAACCCTCCCTGTCTTGGCTCAGCTCCTGCCATTTTAATGTTTCCTTTTGAATTAAACATGGGAAATTGAGGGAGGAATGAGCCACTTAGTTCAGATCCAGATCCAAAGCTTCCCCAAGAAGTGGGAGGGGGGAGAAAGTGAACTTTGGTTTTATCCCTTCTTTAACAGAAGCCCAGCAGGGAGGAGGGGAGAGATTTGTACAGGCTGGAGTGAAGGGCGTCAATGACACACCTGGATGCCAAGAAATCTTCAAACTCCAACCCAAAACAGAGCGAGCGTCTTAGAAATGGGAAAAATGCCTGATGCCAGCGTGGCCACACAGGTGTAACCTTCCCAGCTCCCACGGGGTCTGCGCTACACAGATTTTGGGCAGGAGGTAAAGCAAGCAGGCATCTGTCACACTCCTGGTGAGCACCAAGCCCTTTCCTTCTGTCACCTTCTTGCTCACCACACCTGAGCCGAATAGACGTCAGTGCTCTGGTGGGAGAGCTGTGAAGACAGGAGCTGAGCAGGTCCGTTCAGAGCCAGGGGGAATCAGGGGAGAGCTCAAGTTCCCGTGCAGTTAATGAAAATATTTCCCTTATCTGACCTCACTGATTTCTGCTGAGCGGCAGCGCAGCTCACCATCTTGCCTGCAATATTTGCAGTGATTAAAAGGAATTAGGAAGGAACTGCAACTGAAATTTCACACCAATCCGAAGGAATGCAGCTGTCTGCTAGAAAGGAAAGGATACTGGCACCGTCCTTGGCTTCAGGAGATCAGCACAGCGGCGGGCTGGGACCAGCAGGAACCAGAGCTTCAGCCAGAGGATGTTTGTTGGTTGTGTCTGTGAAGGGCTCTGCGGAGTCTCATGGGTCTTATCAGTGATCCCCAGGCTGGCAGGGGCCGAATCAACGCAAGATGAATGCTCTCGAGACATATTCCTGTGCAGAAGAGCCCTTCTTTGGCAGGAAGATAGGACGGGATGTGACTTAACAGGTCCTTTCCATCCTTGACGTCTGCGATTCAGAGGCAGCGCCCTTGGAAGACCAAAGATGCTCCTTTTGAAGTCTGTGGGAAGTCTGCCGCACACTTGACCGGAGCAGTGCTCGAACCACAGTCAGCCCTCCCGGGGAAGGCAGGGCTCCGCTACAGCTCCCCAGAGGGTCACTGTCATCCACCAAAGACATGGTCTTGGAGTTGATTCTCACCCAGGGCACAGGAGACTGCGGGATGAGACTGGGGAACAACTACAGAAAAAGATTGGTGAGAGGGTACAACAGCCA